CCTCTAGTAATATATTTACTGAGAAAAATGGTGACGTGTTCAATACTTATTTTACCCGCTGTATGTTTTCTTTTTGATTTTTTTTAACCTGGATTACTGAGATGCATCAGGACATTCTAATAAATACTATAAACGCTTGTATTTTCACAGTTACTTCGAGTACAGATCACCTCACTGATAAAAATAAGTTGCCCAAGTATTAGTTGATGACAGCTTTAATATATTACAGATATTTGCACATTGTACACAAAAAATCACTTGTGATTTGCTTAAAATGGATAAATAGATATTTTACTAAGAAATCAATCAGCTCGTTAGTCTAAAAAAACCTTGTAAAATCTGAGATTTTAAAAAAAGTGTTTAACATTATAAAACCAGATTAACTGGGTTGTTTCAGCGGCTCCAGTAAGAGGCTTGTTCTTTGTTTAAAAAAAAATACTTCAGTTTAAACCTTCAGGTCAAAACACACAGGTCACTTTATGCACATTGACACAAGCTTCAGGATCGCCTCCCTGGAAAAAACAAAAAACAAATCAGACACAAGCTTTGACCGAAGGTCGGAAACAAATACAATGAATGAATCGAGCTAACGAGACCAACCTCACACATGGGATGTATGACAGACTGTACCTGCAAACCAAACACAGTTACAGTCAGAGGTCAGACTGAAAGCATTCAGGTGTGAAGGGGGAAGAACAGGAGCTCACCAGGTGAAGGACAAGACTTGCAAAATGACAAACAGCAGAGCGAGTCCAAAGTTCTTCCACTGGATGAGGACGAGGAGGAAAAAGCATCACCAGAAATGATCAAGATGTCAGGAAGGTGGGAAATCACCTGAACGTTTCACTCACCCAAAAAGCTGCACAGAGAGTCAGAACCAGGCATGTCTGTGGAAATAAAATGTGAATACAAAATAAAAGCTACACCCTTAAAAAAGGGTAAGAATTCACATTTAATCCTCCTGGTGTCTTTGGGTCAAAATGACTCAAAACAGACTTTAAAAGCAGGAAAAAACTAAATTATATATTTTTTTCATCATGAAACTTGAGTTTTTCTAGATCGACCCCAACATTAGAAAAAGTTAAGTGTTTTTTTCCATATTCCCATGTTTTGGTTTTACTGAGGTGACAAAATGAGATTAATAAAATTACTCTTGACGTTTTATGCATGCCTCATCTGTTTCACATCAGAAACTGAAGACCAACTCTTCTATTTGAAGATTTATTTCTCAATGTCATCGTTTGTCAGACTTTTTGAACTGAGCTTTTTAAAATATCTAGTCAGTTGTTGCCATCTCTTTGAACAACCTCAGTTTGGAGTAAAACTAGTTTCATTCTGCCCAGACGGATAATTTACTTCTTGCAGGGCCAAAACCACAAGTGGATCATTAGAACTTCAACCTCAGAAATGTTGGACGGGGGGCTCTTAATAGCCTATATGCTACTCCCAACACTTCCGGTTCACAGTCAACACAGTGTTAGCAAAAGATTTTTTCACCTGACAACGACTCTTAATGATCTCCACAGTACAGAATTAGCATATTACATGTACCAACATTAACACAGGAKACATACAGGTTCAGCCAAGTGGAAAAAAATCACTCCAAAGTGGATTAAARCCATAAAAACAAAGGAAAGATGTTCGTATTTATGGTTCCAGAATTTAGCCTTTTTTGCTATTTTGTGGCTGCTTGTTCTGTGAATTTTTCACGTAGAGCTGTGACACTTATATTGTTGGAACGAGCAGAGTCTGGGCTTTAAATTGATGGGCTACTTGTATGGTTTGGATTGTTTTCCCCGACGTTAGTGAACTGAAAATGTAATGATTATCAGGCAGAGGTTCTGCTGCTCTCGGTGCTCGGGGGGAGGAGGGCGCGCTCGTCACTCGGCTTTAGTTTACGCTGTAATATACTCTCTAACAAGGTTTTACTTTTACATAAAACTCATGACAAAGTCGCATAAAAACATTTCATATATTAACAACATTTCATCCTCAGGTTAAAAATGCAGATTAATGAGCTTTTAAAGATAAGTTTTCCTTGTAATGCTATGATCCTCTGCTGTCACCTCCTCATCAAGAGGAAAATGGATAAAAACTAACTACTTGATCGTATCTGCTGCTTAGTGGGCACAACATAACTCATGTTTTATACCAGTAGATCACAGATGCTTTAACTTTTGTGACATTTTCACAGACTAATAC